CCCGTCACACCCCAAGGACAGGAGAGCTCCGGACCCCTCGGTCCCCGTCACACCCCAAGGACAGGAGAGCTCCGGACCCCACGGTCCCCGTCACACCCCAAGGACAGGAGAGCTCCGGACCCCTCGGTCCCCGTCACACCCCTCGGTGCCCGTCACACCCCTCGGTCCCCGTCAGACTCCCCGGCCCCGGGGGCCACGTGACCGACCCGAGGCGCCGGCACGTGGCCCCGACCGTAACAAACAGGCGGGTGGGTGAAGGGGGGCCAAGGAGGGGGGGCCGCGCTGCGCTGCGATTGGTCGGGAGGTCGCGGAGCGCGCCGGCGGGGGCGTGTCCCCGCCGCGCCGCCCCGCCGATTGGCCGGCGGGGGGGCGCGGGGGGCGGGGCCCCCCCCCCCCCCCCCCCCCCGCGCGCTCCCCCCCCCCGCCCCGCCGCCTTGGTGCAGTGCTGAGGAGGCGCCAGGCGGGGGCCGCGCGCGCTTTTCCCGCCCTCGGCGGGGCCGCGGGACCCCCCTGAGGGCGCCGCTCCCTCACACCCGCCATGGCGGCACCGTCACCCCCGCACCGCTCCCGGCACCCGGAGCTGCGCCACTCAGCAACCCGCGGCTGCCGGGTCTCGTCCCCGCACCCCACTTCACTCTCAGCCCCGGCAGCGCCTCCCGCCGCGACTCCACGGAGTGCGGGACCGCTCTGGCGCTCCCCACACGACCAGCGCTTCGGCCCCTCTCCCTGCACGCACCCACCTGTGGGGCGCCCTCGGCCGCCTCCATCATGCCCCGCTTAAAGCGCTTAAATATCCCAGCGGCGACACCGCCTGTGTCACGGACCGGGGCTGCGAACGGCAGTGCGGCCCTCCCCGCCTCCCCCCCCCGGCCCGCCCCGCTCCGCATCTTGTTTTCTCCATACGCACTTGGAAATGCGTATGGAGAAAAGCGGGATCGGGGGGGGCACCGCTGTTATTCCCGCTCTAATCGGGATACCCACGCAACACGGAGGAAAACAACGCGGCGCAGCCCCGTTCTTTCTCCCCCCCCCACCACTCCGCGCTGTCACTTGGCTGCTTTCCCCATGTCGCGACGCGCACACCCCCCCCACCCCGCCATGTCGCGACAGCGCCCCGCGCACCTGCCGCGCCGCGCCCCCCCCGCCCCCGGCCCGCCGTGTCCTACCGGGGCTGCGGGGAAAGGGACGCTCGGTTCTCCCTCCCGGGGGGAAGCACCGCGATGCCGGCGCTCCCCCAGGTGCGCGGGGGCTCCGCGGGTGCGGAGCGGGAGGAGCGGCGGGGAGGGAGCGGCAGGAGCCGGGATGGAGCCGGGATGGAGCGAGCCTCCCTCCCCCCCAGTTCCCCGTCCGCCCCCCCCCGCCGCTTGTGTTTACCTCAAGTTTGAATTTTATCTGCGCAACATGAGCTGGAATGCGGACATGGAGGGCGGGAGGGCGCGCACACGCCCGGCGCTCCGCGGGGAGACCGCGGGCACCCCGCGCACACACACCCCGCAACCCCTCGGCGCACACACCGCGCCCGCGCCCCGCGCCCCCCGCCCCGGTCCCGCCGGTAACTTACCTCCGCCACCGGCTCGCCTCCTTCTCCTCCTCCTTCTCCTCCTCCCCGGGGGAAGGTGCCGCCCGCAGCCCCATCAGCGGGGCGGACACCGCGCTCCCGGCGCGCCGAGACAGGTGCAGCCGGGGCGGGCGGGTCGGGGGGCACCGCCACCTCCCCCGACGCCTCCCCGGGCTCCCCCACTGCTTCCCTCCGTCCCTCCCCACGATGTTGTTTCGTTATATCATGTCCATCATGTGACACCCGGAGGCCTCTCTATGGAAACTTAAAGGGGACTTTCACGTCCGCCGCCGCCGGACCCGCCGGTACCCCCGGGGGGCTGCGAGCCCCGTCGGTGCCTGCTTGCCCTCCGTCCGCTACCTCCCTTCCCTCCCCGGGGGGCTGCGCTTCTTGGTCCTACCACCCTCTGCTTAAAGCAAGTTGCCGCGCTTGCTTCTTCTATTATTATTTATTAGGGGTTGGTTTGATGTTTGGATTTTAGGTTGGTTTTTTTTTTTTCTTTTTCCCCTTCTCTTTTTGCAGAAAGGAATAACCGGGAATAACCAGCCGGGCAGGCATCGTGCGGAAGGATGGACTCCGCTCCTGGAGGCTGCGGGATCCGGCGCTCCTCTGCGGCCGCGCCGTGTCTCCGGTGCTGGAAGAGGCAGAAAAACAGCGCCAAAAAATAAAATCCAAAACAACCAAAAGAAAAATAAAAATAAAAGAAATAAGGCGTAAAAAACCCTTGTTGGTGTCGGACTGAGGAGGAGCAGATGTGAGCCGCTCTGCCCGTGCGGGGTCGATGCGGTGGTCGCTCCCGCCGCGTTTAACTCCGCCAGTCGGTAGCGAAGCGATTTCACCGTCCCGACCCGTCGCACCGCCGGCTCCCGACAGCCGAGGCTCTGTGCCGAGCTGCTGGAAGGAGCCGCTCCTAGGGATGTGCGCTGGCCACTGCAACGCTACCAGCAAGCAGCCAGCCCTCGCGGAAAGGAAAGGGGAAGATGCCGAGAATTCCCGTGGTTCGTGCAGCCCCCGGTTCCCCCGCGCATCCCGCTGCCCGGCGGGTGCGGGGCCGGCCGGCGGCAGCGCCGCGCTCCTCCGGCTGCTGTTCCGCCTGCGGTGCTGAAGTGGGTTTTATTTCCTGCTCTCCACCAGCCCCCAGGATTTGGGATCAGGGAGCTGAAGCCCACCCTCTCCACGGTCCCACCGCCGGGCTGACAATGCGCAGGGGGTTCTCGGGGTTTTCCCTCTGGAAGGTTCGTGCAGGAGGGCCCCATATTCTGCTCCCAAACTGGTGGCATCGTGTCAGTGTTGGTGATCAAGTGCAAGGCTTTAGGGGCTAGATTGAGAGGGGAGACATAGATTTGTTGTTTAAAACTGAAGGAGGAAAAGGAATCCCGCATTCACTCCTTCTTTACAGCTTCCAGCAGCCCCCCAGCAGATTAAAAAGCCATGATCCACAGATGCAGTAAATTTTTAGTTGGGGATTTAATTTCTTCAGTTTCCTACCACGTTTTCTTGAAGCGAGTCATATAAATGAATTTTTTCTAACTGCTGGGTTGGTGCTGATGGCTGTCAGCCACGGGAGGGGACCAAAGCCGCCCGGCCACCCGCCCCAGGCCCAATCCTGCAGTAACAGTGGATCATTTCATCAGCTCTCCCATTTGTGCTTTGAACTTAAAATACCTGTATCTACCCCATTCATTTCCAGTGCCCATGCAATGAGCTGTATATCTAACAGATCAGTGTTTCAGATTTTTTATTTTTTATTTTTTAATTTTTTTTTAGTTTTGTAAAAATTACTAATGATTTTAGCTGAATAGAGTTGAAGTGAGGAGCAGTTCATCTTCCTTTCCTTACTTCCTCTCAGAGTCTTCCCTTCATCCACCCTCCACACTGTTTATGTTTATACCTCCTTCTCATCCAATTTTGGGGGAATTTCCTCTCTGGTCTCCTTTCTGTCATTTATCCAGGCTGTCCCACTGCTGTGGAGCCTAACTACAATTTACCTTGCTTCCCATATCTCTGGGCCTCATTTCCCTGCCTCACTGAGCTTCTTTTTATTCCGTATTCCCTTCTTCAGATCATGCTTAAAGGAGGAAGAGGCTGGAGCTAGGATTTAAAGTAGTCTTTTAGGAATGCTGCCAGAACGAATCTGTTTTAACTCTGCTGCTGCTGCTGTTGCTGTTCTGCTGTGTCATGGGAAGAGTTTCCTCTCCACACCAACCCTTGGAAGCGGCACCTCGGGCAGAGCCGCTCGCTGCAAACCCCGGCCGTGTTTTCCAAAGCCCGGGGTAAGTTTGTCTGGTGCAGGATTGAGCCCGGAAGGAGAAGGCACCACTGTCTTCCCGGGCTCTGACCTGGAGAGCTGTGCACGATTTTGGGAGATTTGCAGGAGGCAGAGTGGCGGCAGCAGCAGTGACAGAGCATCATCGCTCAGCTTTATTTCATTTTCTCGAGCCAAGATGCTTTAGGTTACAGCCCAGCAGAAAAGGAAAATGAAGCATTTCTGTCAAAAGAAAGCTATTTCCCAAATTTGCTTTAAATTATTGCAAGATCTCGCACTTAAAAAGAGCAGAGATTCTGTCTCCTCTTAAAAAACGTTGTTAGTTATAAAATCTTTACGATCTTGGCTCTCTCCCCCTCAGCCTGTCTCCTTCAAAAACTTGCTTTCAAAAATGTTAAGTTTAAAGATGACTCTTCTCTCATTCTCTGTCCCCTCTCCCAAATTTATGTTCTTTGGAAAGGCCTGAAGAAGCCTGGGGCTGTGTCTGCCCATGAATAAACAACAGCGTGCACATACACGTGCATATCCACGAGCACACACAGGATTTAAAGCATCCCATTGAAGTCCACGTATAGGAAAATCCTTGATCATGTGGTAAGCTTTAATATCTGCCTTAAAATTAATCCCTAACTGATGGACTCTGTGTGGTGGCAGATCACAGGAGGCTCAGTAGCCGGGGCTCCTGTGCAGGTTTTAAAAAACTGCCAGATAAAATCTCCTGTTTGTTGTTGTATTAATATGTTTGTTCAAAGCAGATACCTGGGAAATGTTCATCTAGTGAAACCAAGTAAGAAAACTTTATAGGGCTCTGATCTTGTTTTTCCACAGTAAAAAAGAAAGACCTTGTCATGAGGTCAGGACAAGATCTGATGTTATTGCACAAGGAAATGGCTAAAGTTGGCTGCAAAGTTCTTCAGGTACTCTGTTGGAGATAACACTCCTGAATTTTATTGGAGCTTGAGTTTTGAAGGTGGTCCTGCTTAATTCTCAGAGTTGTCTTTGTTTTTTTTTCGATTCATTTTTGTTGTTGACACTGAATTTTCTTGTTTCACTTCTCTTTCGTATTCATTTCATTCTTTAGTTCCCACATGTTAGAAAGTGCAGTTTCATTTAGACTCGAGAGAGAAAAAAAGTCTGATTCCAGAGAGCAATTTGCAGCAATATATTTTCCTTGCCACTCACACAAAAACATCACCACTCCAACAGATATAGGTATAAACAATGCTGACAGGCCCTCAAAACCAAAACCAGATTGTGAAATTGAGGCAAATAGCCCAGAGAACCCGAAATGTTCTGGTTTCTAAAATGCTGTCTGCTGTCAAAAATGGGGTAAAATAAAGCTTTGTTTACGTGTAGAGCGGAGTGTTTGTTGATCGAGTTTCTAAGGTGATGTAGCAGGAAATGCTGTTCTTAGGGAAAATGACATGAACAAAGCATGAAACTATAATTCAGCAGCTATTTGTCAACTGATAGCAGAAGAAAAAAAGCATTTTTATAAAGCAGTGAGAGGTTTTCACTGAACTTTTTCTCTCCTTTGCTGGCATATTTGAAGGCAGCTTCTCACCTGCTCTGCTTCTGGATGTAACTACTTGCAAGAGCAGAGCTAAATCATTTATCAGAAGGAATGTTTCCATCAGATCCAAATATCTACACTGGCTGCTGTTTCTACGTCATGTCACGGATGAGATTGATGCTCAAGCAAGGTTATAATGTACCTGCATTTTCTCCAGATTGGTGCCAAGCTTGCTGAGTCATTTTCCCTGTTCCCATTCTGCAGCCGGCTGCTCGCTCGCTATTCCCTGTTATTTGTGTGGGTCGTAAGCTCAGCAACAGATGAGAATAAATGCTAATATTTCTTTAGGCTACCTCCCTAAGGAAATAAAGGTTCTGCTGCGCTGCTTTTCTGTGCAGGTACGTGTCCATCCCCCTCTCCCAAAAGCTTCTGAACCCATTAATGGATTCCAGATGAATTTGGGAGGAAACAGATACTTCAAACTCAGTTATATTTCTGCAAGGTGCACACGGGATCAGGAATTGAAGCAGAACTCAGCCCTAACGCCTCCAGGCTGGCATCCACCTTCAAGCCACCAACCCACCCGTGGCAGGCAATTAATCTCTGTGTAGTGACTGTGAGCCATGGCACTGCTCTATCCTGCCTAGTACAGTTTTCTCTGGCTGGCAAAGGATATCAGGGAGAAGCAGTGGAACTGGGCTAACTCAGGGAATGAGCTGTTTTCAAGGCAAAATAATAAAATTTAAGTAGTATCATTATAAGCAACAGAAAAGCTAATACCCAGGAATGGCTGAACATTGTTTGTGGGAATGATTATCTTTTGTGTCAGTCTCAAAACAAACCATGGCAGAGGAGCAGGTCAGTCTGTTCCTAGAGCCAGCACAGCTGTCAGTCTGGTGCCATGTTGCTCTTGGCACTAAAAGCCAAGATCCCCCACCCTCACCTCTTCCAATTGTGGATGTGTTTCCTCTGCAATGCCAACATCAGGTGAAGAGCAGCCTCAACCACAGGCTTCAGGTTACTGCATCTGACAGCCCCACTCTCCCATCTTCCTTTCTGGCATAGCCTGGCTGTAGCTGAGGTTCAGAATTGGTTTATATTTGAGAAGAGCCAAGCCTATGGTGTCTGCTCATGGCTAGTGTTGGCTCCTTGGCTGGAGCCCTCCTGGGCTAACGGAGACGGGAGAGCTCCAGCCCTGCATCTCCACCTCAGGGAATGCTGGTCAGGTTAGGACTGCAGATAGGATCAGATCCATTCTCACCTGAGAGCAAAGGATTAATTTATGTATCCTTTCTCCACCACATCTCTCTGGGAGCAGCCACCGGAGCGGGGACACCCTGACGCTGCACGTACCATATGCACTCATCTCCATTGCAATTAGTTTGATGCAACAAACAGCTCCAGCGTGACAAACTCTAGGCTAAAAAAAGCCAGGACTTCATCTGCATAAACTGGATGCACCAAGTATGTATTGTGTGTCACCTCCCTTATGTCCCACATTTGTTCCTGCAGCAAATGGCATATGCTCCAGCAATATCACATGGTCTGAATGGACTCCTGGAAATACAGCAGGGATCTGATGCTGGTAGTCTTTGAAATTAAGATATTAGTTGTGATCCTGCTTATGGACCTCTTCTGGAAGGAAGGTTTTTGCATATAAATTAAGATTCATTATCCTCTGATGAATAATCTATAAAATTAGAGCCAGCCTGCCCATCGATGACCAAATTATTTCTGGTTTAGC